GGTCAGGAATGTGGTAATGCATAGATAAAGTTTTATTACAGGTCTATCAACAAACGATTGGTTATCGTGTAACTTTGACGATAACAATTCTTGTGAATGGATTGATGATGCGAATAATTGGCTTGCGAATTGGCGTCCAACTTCTCATATTATAAAAGGCGATACAGCGAAAGGAGAACATCAAACAGTTTTATGTACTCAAATTAATCCACGTACACGATCACGTTTACGTAATCATCTGGGACATTCTTCACTTTCTTCACAGACTAATTCAATTGTTCGAGTAATAAGTCCACCCGTAACTACATTAGACAACTATAAGTGCTTGACATTTGTATACCTGTTTGAGAATACACCTCAGTCTTCGATTTCAAATGGTTTCACACTAAACTTACTTCGTCGTTCTGAGGGGTAAGGTTTTTGCACATGCATCAAGGCCATTGTGCTAATATTTTATCGCAGTGCAATGTTTCCATACACTTGATTACGTCTTGTTTTCCACAACCATCTGAAATCACAGTAAACTCGAAGGTTTATACAAAGTATTTTGTTTTAACTTGATAGCTTATGGTGTTAGTCGACTGTCAGTTGAACCAATGCATCATTGTTCATTTGAACGTAATCTGTGTGGATGGACAAATGATCAAAGTAGTTGGGAAGGTTATTGGCAGTTAACTGAAGTCAAAATTCCTTTGACAAATGCATCGTGTTTTCAAATAACCCAAAAATCTGTTAGCGTAGAAAATTCTTGGTTTGTTAAACGCAAAACTTCTCGTTCAGATAAACCAAGTGATATACTACTACATGCTAACCGACGACTTATTAGTGCCAAACTATGGAGTCCTCTTATTCTGGCTGAAGATCAACTTCGGTGTCTTGTATTGACATACAAAATTGAAATAATTCCATCACTTCATTCATCTAAGGTCGACTTGTCGTCCAGCATAGAAAAACAAGCTTCGTTGACTCTACTAAGACGTCAACAAGGGTAGGCTGTTGATTAAAGAATATTCTTTAAAATGTATGTTTAACGAGGTTCCGAATGTTTCCTGATCAACCAATCACCTTGTGTACATTGCAGATATCTTGACCAACGTCATTTAGATGTTTTACGTCTACTCAAGAACACTATTTATGTACCGTTATTATAAAGCTGGTTGGTGCATTATATATCCAGCTTTCTTTTCTAGCTACTATAGATCCAGTCTATTTCTGTCCTTTCACAAAAAATATATGTGATTGGAATAATGATTTGAATAGTTGGAGAAATCATTAGTCCATAGTCGAAGAACGAAATGAAATGACTACACCAGATCGTCAAAATGAAGTTGTACAATCTTACTGTTGTCTTATATCTGATGTACCTTCGGGATCACTATATTCGACCCCATTAAATAATCAGTCTACGTGGCTAGTACAATCTTATCTTTTATCTAACCTACAAGATTCTATTACAATCAAGCCAATACAGTTCAGATTGTGGAGTTCAGCTATTCCTACGAAATTAGGATTAAAATGTATGACATTTACCTGCACTATTCAGCTTGGTTCACCAAGTCAAAGTCTACTACAAGATTTAAACACTTTCTCTTCAACAGCTTTTCTCATTATTTCGCAAACACAAGAAGGGTGAATAATAAAATTTCAAGTTTGGATGATTTTCTTTCTCTAGTCAACTTGTTTTGTTGTTGATCCACTCATTGTACACTGAGTAGCTGTACACTTTTCTTATATATTCTTTGCTTCATAGCTGGTCAGCTTCAAGTCAAACCGTTGCATGTGTGTACATTCATTGGCAATACTTGTGGTTGGATAAACGATCCTAATATATGGAAATATCAGTGGAATTTAGTCACATCTTCAAAGAAAGTTAGTAGTAGTATGGGTAGTAGTGGTAGTAGTAGTAACATGCAACAATCTACAAGTATGCTATGTATGAATGCAAAGAGATTACTACTGAAAATTGGATAACCAGTCTATCATCATCTGGTCAACTAAATACTCAGTCGAATTCAGTCGTAAATAAATTAATTCAAGCAAGATTATGGAGTCCTCCAATACAAACAATACACAAGCTACATTGTCTCAAGTTAATTTATCGAATCGATACAGGAGTTGAGTACAAAACACCTACAACTAAACAGCACCTGAATGATGAAAAGCCAACGTTGGCTTTATTACGTCGTCAAGAAGGGTGATTACTACTTACACCATAATATTCATATTCTTTTTAAAATCATTCATTCTATTATATACTTGAGGAAGTGTGAAGAGAGGCTTTCCTTATTTCCAGAAAAAATATTGATTTTTCCACTGTCAGTCATAAAGAATGTGTCATTTTAGCTAGGTTGGAAACCCTAATGGTCACTTGTTCAAATCCTGTTGCTGCATAAATTTTCATTTTCACCTTCAGTTATCCGTCACCCAGTATCAATTAATATCAGCCCACCAAACCACGTTTATCTTAGATAGTCAAATACTGTCTGATCATATGTTTCTACAAGTAGCTGGCGATCATCATGTCTGCAGAACATTCACTCCTCTGCATTTCATCATGAATGTAGTGAACTTATTGTTTCGTTCTTTTCAGAAGCAATACTACTATTACCTTATAGTCTTTGTCAAATCGATCAAAATGAATTCTACATCACATATCTAATATCAGCGTATTTATTTATTACTTTCTGTGTTCAGCAACTTCAAATGTCGACATGCTTCGTTGTTATGGTGAAATAGAAAAAGAGGAATCCTGTAGCTGGGTTGTTGATCCGAATGATTGGGGGAGATTTCGTTGGAAAATGGATAACCTTCCGTCGATGGATGATATTGAGTTGGCGTCACGAAGAGCAATGTGTCTGCATAGATCACCGAGTATTCGAAGCTCTGAGACATTGACTTCGCGTTTATGGAGTCCATCGATTGGTGTTCTAGATGAATCGGCATCAGATTACATGAGTGTGGATGATCCAGTGAACCATGAAGTTGGATTTGAACCACGTTGTGTTTCCTTTTCATTTCGATTTTTCTACCCTGTTATTCATGGATCTGGTTTAGTAGGTGAGGTGGCTGATGGGCATACACCGAGTCTTTCTGTTTTGAAGCGTCAGCGGGGTGAGATGGTAGTTTTTTTTCCATTTTATGTGAATCCTTTATTGGAACAGAGTAGGCGTCTATTGGGGATCTTGGTTGGAGGCAGGGAGCCCTGGATCTAGGTTTCGTGCTTCTTGGCACTCGTCAACAAGGCATATCTGCAATCTCAGTGAAACTGATGTCCCGCCTGAGATTGGAACCTGCATAACCCAGTGTTGTAGTCAGCGATTTTACCACTGAGCTATTCGGGACGTGACTGACCTCCTGTAGGACTGGGTTACATGTATTAATTGGTTATAGGAGTGTAACCAGTTTTATGTTGTCTAGTCTTTAGCGCACACTGAATCCTATCGATCATATTTGCAATGTGGTCACCAAGCTAGGAGACTCAGCATCGCGGTGCACATTAGTAGATTTTAGCTAGTTGGAGGTAATCGGCAGGAAGCCGATCATTTACAACTAGGTGTTATTGTGTACATTCACACTTTTGATTGATACTGAACAGATTCACTTCATCGTGTTTTCAGCCACTTCACTTCCAACTGGATCATCGGAGTTTACTTCAATCGCACATATGGATTTGGACTGTGAATTCAAAAAATCCACCTGTAATTGGACAAATGATCCAAACAATTGGCCTGCAAACTGGCGTTTGACTAGAGTTGAATTTGAAGAAGACTTTCCGGAGAATGATGGTGCACTAACTGTGGAAAGTATTCTGCTTGTCTAAGTATCGGAAAACTGTCGGGTCATCATCATGCTCAGTCGAATTATGATATAACAGCTCGTCTGTTTAGTCCGATTGTGTCAGTTTTGAATCAACCGAGTTGTTTACAGCTTACATACAGTGTAGGATTGAGTTCGATTATGTCAAGAGAGTACGCGATGAGTGGATCGAATGTGGATGAGAATGTTGGTGCTAAGAGACCAGGATTGTCATTGTTACGTCGTCAAATGGGGTGAGCGAAATGTTGTTGAATGGAGATGACTGAGTGTTGATTAGTGGTGTTGATGAGTTGATGGAAGTTTTTATAACCTGGTAGATTTTTCTTATCCTCAAGACAATGATTGAACGAATGTAGGTGCTATGTAGTTCTGTCTTCTCACATATGATTAAGGAACGACTGGAGCCTCCTGATTTTTGATAACGTCAAGATATTTTTGATTTGATCAAGCTGTGTAACATTCCTCTTATTGGAATTTTGTTTCGGTACGGATTATTTTGCCCACTTCATCAATCTTCTTTGCAGCTACTGTGGTCAACTGAAGTCGTATACATCATTGAAATTAATGGTAATCCTTACTCTCTTCAGAGCAGCTTGACTAGTTTATGTCGACACCTTCGATTATTATAATAGCTACCAACCTACTTCTGGCTGTCCGATAACATATAAGCTTTATTGTGCAATTATGACATCGATCAACTTCTTCTTTGTTTCTCTACAAGAAAATCACTAATACCTTAATCACATTTGTTTGTTACTTTCTGTATCCAGCAAGTTCAAATCCTAATATGGAGGATTTACTTCACTGTTTCGCTGGAGATAATGGTCAAGATGATTCTTGCAGTTGGCTTGTTGATCATAATGACTGGGGAAGATTTCGTTGGAAAATGGATAACCTTCCGTCGATGGATGATATTGAGTTGGCGTCACGAAGAGCAATGTGTCTGCATAGATCACCGAGTATTCGAAGCTCTGAGACATTGACTTCGCGTTTATGGAGTCCATCGATTGGTGTTCTAGATGAATCGGCATCAGATTACACGAGTGTGGATGATCCAGTGAACCATGAAGTTGGATTTGAACCACGTTGTGTTTCCTTTTCATTTCGATTTTTCTACCCTGTTATTCATGGATCTGGTTTAGTAGGTGAGGTGGCTGATGGGCATACACCGAGTCTTTCTGTTTTGAAGCGTCAGCGGGGTGAGATGATAATTCTTTACCTTTTTCTTTGAATCTCTTATCCACGGGGAGCGGCTTCGGGAAAGCGTCTTTTTTTCCTTCTACGTACTTTGTTCTATCTATCTATACCCTTTTTATGTACATCACTTTAAGGTAAACGGTCAACAGTGTCACTGTTAAACTGCAACTTCACTGCGCCTTGTCGATGGTCAATGGATCAAAATGACTGGGGTCAAGCAAGATGGGAAAAAGAAGTGCTGTCTCCCAGAGAAACAAACTTTTTTAATATTCCAGAAAATGTGTTGTGCTTTCATACTCCTAAACAAAATGAATTCAATGAAGATGTATTTGTGGCACGTTTATGGAGTCCGCCGATCAGTTCAACATCTCGTAAACCTATTCATCTCGGCGACAAGTTCGACTTTTTGACTCCTAGATGTCTTACATTTGCATACAATGTCTTCAGTGGTTCATCCAAAGTGCTAGTCAAAAGAAGCCCAAGTCTTGCTCTTCTGAAACGTCAACGAGGGTATGATTATATAAGTAGTTGTAAAGGTTGTTGGGACTTCCTGCTAGTTGTTATGCTGAAAATTACATCTTTTCAGGGATTTTTGAATATTTTCTCTTTGTTAGTCTATACCTTATGCTATGGAGTTCGTGCTGAATTCTTCTTGTTTATTTTACTTTTTATCCTCTTCACTAGTGTTTACTGCGATTTTTTTCTTGGCATGCAAGCTCCGTTTGACTGTGTCGATCGTGATGTGTTGTGGCAGTGCGACTGTGAAGGGAGTACCGAGCAAGTATATAACGCTAATCTGTCTACTCGAACTCGCGCAGCCTTGTATTGGAAGGGCTTATGGAAAGTTGTCATGCGAGTTGACGACAACTAGCGGTGTCCTCCACGGATGCCCACTGTCACAGTTCCCATTTAGCTTCGTCATAGACATACTAATGGACATGAAGTTAGGTACGTTTGACTTCACAGGGATTGATCTACTACCTGAAGGTAATTTGGTTGACTTGGAGTATGTAAACGATGTTGTCCTACTAGGTGAAGACGCTAAAAAAATACAAACAGGGTCTTCTGAAGGTATTGAGCAGAAATCTTAGTATATTTAGCATGCGTTCGGCTGGCTCCTGTCAAATGTGAGATGATGCTCCAGGACTGATCTATTGCAAGTACTTCCAATTTACTAATAGGTATTGAAGTAGTGTAATGTGCCAACCACCTCACTTACTTGGGAAGTTGCATCAGCCTGCCGAACGGGCTGGTTACTGACAAAATCTCAGCTCAGATACAGAAGACCCATTTAGCATTTGCCAACATGCATGATCTGTTGCATCGACTGACGAGCTATCCGACTGCATATTAGTTAACGAGTAGCATTGTTTGCCTATGGTGGAGTCACCATGTAAGCAATTTCGGCGTTAGGTGGAAGGTTCTAGGCAGGGAAGGCGAGTCAGTCCGTAAGGTTGTGAGCCTTAGTCGACTGAGGTAGCTTAGACATGTGCTACTCATGCGGAGCCACCACTTACGTCGACGTGCTATTGTTGGCGAAGTTGGCTTAAGTTTGGAAGGGGATTCGAAGCGGCCATATCAAGACATGGCATCAGTCGTTGAAATCTCTGACCGTTGGTCTGAGCTGTGTATGGAGGTGTACACTACCTGTTTGGGTTCCCTGAGACGATAGTAATGAGTGGTTGAGGACTGACTGTTAATGGCATGGCCAAAAATCGGTCAGAATGTGGGCACAGGTGTATTCACTCTTCTGTGTCTTCTAAAGCTTGACTGTTTTGACCAATCTTAGTTTTTAGATTTTCTCTTCTCCCGTACACCTTTTTTCCACCTTGATATCAGTCTTTCCTAATCACTGATTGTTCGCCTACTCCAGTGAAGTGTGGCCAAATGAACCGATGCTTTTGTGTACAAGGGTCTGGGTTGATTGTGCTTATCTAACTTCGATTTATAATGGAATCATGAGAGAGAGAGAGAGAGAGAGAGAGATCTAGATAGAGTTTAATGAAGGTGCGAATATCAGAGAATTTCGAAGAATGAAGACTTCATATAAGGATTAGTGATTTGAATTGATCATCAGATAGTGTCTTCAGTCGAAATCGTTCACATTCTTGATTAACAACTCTAACATGTGTTCCGAAATCATCATGATCATTCATTGTTAACTTCATACATCGGAAGTGGATGTTGAAGAGAGATGAATGGTGACCAAAGTTTTGGCTTAATGATTTGGTTGTTTCGTCCAATGTGAGTTCATGCGGGTTCTGTGTGTAGTATGAGATTGCAGTAGGTACTGAATTCTACTAGACCAAATTTTCAGAGCAAAAGGCGAACTTTCCAACCATCATCCTGACCAGCAAAGTCAATTTTGAAAAGGTTTTCAAAACGTCTATACCAAGTGTTGAAAGTAGCATTGGTCTCTGGATCATGGAGACAATCAGTGATGCTATTAACCAACGTATCGATAGAAGGAGCTAAACTGGCACTAGGCGAAGAGGATGGTAGTGCAGCAACAACAGCATTCTTGTTACTAGCTAAAATTTCAATAAGCTTGAATTGCTGTCCTAGCATATACTCAATTTTCGAACGGTCCATTACCAGAAAATCAACTCTGTCACTACTGTTATGATGCAGCGTTGTGAGAACGAACGTTAATCGCCAACGATTAATAGTTGAGGGTTGAGATGGTTCAAGAAATCAAAAGACTGGAAATCAGCTGAGTTTATAATATCTCGGACTGAAAACGTTTATTACTGAAAACTGACCCTATTTATAGAATTTTCAGTAACCTTGAAAGGCAAGAAATAATTAGTACATTTAAAGAGACAGAAGCTAATCAGAACGCTAACGGGTCATACGAAATATGACCTATGCGCGGGGAACAGAGTACGAAGTAAAACGGTTCAAATATACCCAAACTGTAAGTATGGAATACATGTGATATAGGCATCCCTAACAGTAAATATTTCATAACTGTTAGTCATGACTATTTAAGAACACGAAAGTCATTTTATGCGGTCATGTATCGAAATCTTTATTTATTTTCTCTAGTTCATGCAGCACTATTACATATATTATTGTCAGCATTCGTCATATTGTTGGTATCAAAATGTAACTCCACTACTGAATTACGTTCATTCATATTTCTGTGGTGCTGGTATACAGTGTCAACTTTATAAGCCCAGCAAGCGCTTAGTAGAATCTCACTTGTTGCCTTAAAAGTCTCTTGTTTATTCTTATCTTACATTTGGTGTTCTAACGTAAAGTCCTTCGAGGATTAAATAGGCCAAGATCATATCATACTGACCTATGTGAGAATAGAATTCCTGGGGTTTTTATTACTTTTCGACAGGAATGCCCCTAATAAAGGTGTTTTAATAGGGTAGACTAAATTATTGAGTAAGAGCAAGTGAACTTAGAGTATTTCTAACAGAATCCACCACTAAAATGGTTTACTTATTATAGTTAGAAATTGTAAGTTGACTTAGCTTTACACCAACTTTACCTAGTCTAACTGATGGTGATTATCAGTCTGTTGATCGAAATGTATGGTAGCCTTAGAAACAAACCAATATAACTCACTTGAATCTTTTATGGGGAAGAGTGTGGTGCACACATGTTCAATCAAATCGACTTGGTTAGGACAACAGATTCTTGCCAGTAATGTAATGTGCTTATCGATGGATAGACATATAAATTCAAAGTAAAATCTCTCACACGTGCATCGTTTCAAATTTCCACTTTTTACAGAAGTATACAAGGAACAGATGGATAAAAAAAGACCGATATAAAAGCGGAGAAAGCTGTATGAGAGCATAAACAATTTGAGGACAAAGGTTAGCGTAAATATTCAAGCTGTGGAAGACGTCAAGGAGTGAGTACATCTGCACTATTGTGACTGATTTTCAGCTATTTCATCAGAAGTCCCAGATGTGTAATCTGCGCCTCCCTATATGGCTCAAATAGCAGTCAGAAACTTCATCGACTCGTGCTACGTCTTAGTCTAGCCACCCTGAGCCAAGGCACATAGAGGTGGGCGTTGGCTTGACATGCTGTGTACATGTCGAAGGTTTGAATCCTCATTGACCGACTTACCTATCCTGCGCAGTACCCTCCGCCTGACCTCTACATTCATCTCATGGTGGTTTAACCATAAGTGAGCATTGCTTCTATAGTCTTTTCACATCTATATTTAACAGCCATATCTCACAGCTGTATAGAAGAACAGAACAAACTGCATCACATGTAGTCGGATATCTCACCAGTTAGCGGGAGAGATGATACAAGTAGGGGAATGTCAAAGGAGCCTTCTTTTTCCGGAGTGAGATTTCGGTTTGACGCAACTTCTCGAGTAAAAGTGAAAAGGTCGACGCCTTCCACCACTTCATTCTTTAGCCTTGTGTTCAGTTTGCTCAAGTTAACTAACTAAACAGTAAATAGATGCATTTACGAAAACTAGAGAAACTTATTCTGTACTCCCCCCCCCCTCCTGTTTATCTTTTATCGAGAAAGTTTTATGAGAGTAGTTCAAACTCTTTTCTGCTTAAATAATTCTATCTATTCTTTAAACTGACGAATCTTGGGATGGGGACTGATACCTTCTATCTTCTTATTTATTAAGGTTATTCACCTATGGAACAGTCATTATCTTGTGATTTCGACAATTCTGTCATGCCTTTATGCAATTGGCAACATGATTTAAATGATTGGCGTGGACGATGGAAACAATGGAGATCACGTAATGTTGACGATAATGATAGTTATCTTTATGAAGATACTAGTCAGGTGACTGATAGACATTTATGTCTACAATTGGATAAAGAAGATTCTAATAATGAGGAGGAGGGGGCGGAGTTTACAGAATCCCTTGGTTTAACAGTTCGTCTATGGAGTCAGTTAATACGAATAAAGAAATTGTCTGAAGAAGTTAAACCAAAGTGTTTAACTTTATCCTATCAACTAGATGCTGGTTTATTACAAAAGCCGGTTGATCATAAAAATAATCTGATTAGACAGGATCAATCAAAACTTCAGTTATCTGTATTAATGCGTCGTGAAGGGTGAGATGAGATAGATTATGGATATTGTCTTTATACGCATATGATGTGCTTGTTCTGTACTCTAATCTACCCAACCTTTCCCTATTTTCAATTTTACTTCAAAAAGAGAACAACTTGGAAAACAACATCAGTAATAATTCTATGATCTATCTATCTTTCGTTATAATTTACTGACTGCGTTTTACATCGTATCTGAAGGGTTAAATTAGGCTTATCCAATGCCTAGCTAGATGTTTTCATGTTGATCTTGTAAATTCTGTCAACATGAAGCATTCTTTCTTCTGCTTTTTATCATCTAGTATCTTAGTGATGAAGCATTTTCTGATTATCAATCTCTTTCCACAGCTATGGATTCAATAAATTCAATCAGTCAATCGGTTACTTCTATCAATCATCATCTTGGTGAATCACTATTAGACTGTAATTTCACAGATTCTTCATCATCATCTATGT